TCTACCGGTGATGTTTGAGTGGCCAAGGGCTCCTTGTCCCTGCAGCAGTGGGACGCAGGGGGACACAATGTCTGTCCATGTCCATTGGATCCAGACAGGGTTTGATTCCCTATAAGGCTTCTTCTGAAAAGGTTTGGCTGCAAGCCTGATTTCTCAGTTAACAGAAATCTCCTATGCCTAATTAATGTCAGTCCCATCCAACTGCCCCTCCAGATGGATACATCTACCCACTCCTTTTTTATCTCCGTCAGCCTGGAGCTGAATATATTCTCATGTTGAATATGAGAATACGAAACGTGGGTGCCAAAAGACACAAGAGGAGTTACCTGTTCTGTGAGAAGATCCCTCTGGATGGAGGTGGCCATAGCAGGGCAAAAAACTGCTCTGTTTGCCACCAACATGCACCTGCTCCTTCAGAGCCCTGCTCTACTCCCCCATGGCTGAAACACTCACCTGGGTCACCGATCCTCAGTCTGGAAGGGGAAAAATAAATCAGAGTTATTCCTTCCCGCTTATAGGCAGTCTCACTTAGGATGCACCCCTGGGTCTCTTATCAGCACAGTCAGCGCATGCAAGAAGGTGGCTTTGTGGCACCAGGCAGGGACCGATGATGCAGACCCACATTTGGCCCATCACAGCCCCGGAGGACCTTGGTAGGGGAAAATCACTTCTCCAAGGGAGCCACCCCATGGACTGAGGACAAACCCTGCCCTCCCTGTGGCTGTGGCTGTGGGTAAGACCCCGTGCTCATCACCATCACCAGCGCTGTGACAGCCGCACGGCGAGCCCCACGTACAGCTGCTTTCAAAGCCCGTCTGTAGTCAGTTGTACAATATAAAGTGTCTTTGTTTAGTCAACAGAACCTCTAATACATGTGATTTTGTTGTTAATAGAGCTGTAAGAATTTTAAGTACCTCTTGGGAATGTGTCATTTTGGGTTGGCTTTTTTAGGCATTGCAGGGTGCTGCGCTTGTCTTTGTAAACAAGTTTTGAATAAAACATTTGCGCACAGCCGCACTTTGTACAAGTGTCATGCAGGTTTCAGGAGTTTCAGAGAGAATAAATCAACTACAAACTGCTGCCTGGTGGTTGACTTCACTCCTTATAAATAGCTAATTTGGACAACTTTTCTCTGCATGTCAGATGAAATCTAAATGCTGTGCCTATCGTTCCTGTGGGCGCACAAATCCCAGCAGCTTGAGCCCCTCTCATGAGCCCGGGGTGCTACAGAAATGCCATGGGGGGGGGGAGACCCAACCAGGCTGCTGACCTTCCTTCAGAGGAAATTCTCAGGGGGCACCAGCAGGTAAACGCGCCGGGGAGGAGCAGGAACCTCAGCTCCTGGGGCATTCCCACATTCAGGCCCATCCCCAGCAGCTGCTGGTCATTCTGGTTTGCAGCCATCGTCTCTGAGGAGAACGGGGTCCTTTCTCAGCCGTTAGAAACAGCCCTGCTTGACCAAACCCAGCAGCATGGCAGCCATGCATGCCATGCACACGCAGAGCTTTCCCCACTCGCCGCTCTGCAGAGCCCTGCAGGGATGCAGCTCACCTGGAGCTCCCTGGGCACTGCAAGCAGGGGCTGCTCCTGGCAGGTGCTGAGCAGCTCTGACCTCTGCCACTTGTTTTGAGATTTTGGCAAGCATTCAGCATGAAAAGGATCGGCCTCTTGCTGCAATAATCAGTGAATGAGGAACTCGTTTGGCTGAATTTCCACCACCCCCCCTCCTCAAATGCAAAATTGCTGTACATTCCTTTATGCAGGTTTCCATAGAGTTGAACTTCTACTTTTTTTTTTGTTTTGTGGCCGTTAAAGGGGTCAGCAGTCACTGAACGCCGGGATCTCACTGTTGGGAAATGGGGGGTGGAATTTGGCCACAATTTAACATCTTGCCGGTGGGGTTGGAGGGTGGCATTCAAAGCAGCATCCTGGAAACCTCAGCACCACAGAGGAGAAAAAAGCCTGGAGGAGCCCAGGGGAATTGTGAAGACATTCTGCTTTGCAGATCCTAAGTTTAAATAAGTTATTTCTTCCCTACTTAACTGGGTTAAAATATGATATTCTAGCTCTAATTGCTTCAATCCTATTACTGGTTCCTTTTAGCGAGTGATTGTGCAGCCCCTTGCCGTGGGGAAATCCCCTGATCGCGGGTCCCTGTTATTCAGACAAGTACTCTTTCAGAAGTAAATGCCATTCTTAGCATAGGGAAGTACTTTAGGTCTAAAGGGGTTAAGAAGGCCTCCCTGCATTCAGAAACATGCAGGGGTCCCACCGTGCCAGTTCCAGCCTTTTAAACTCTTTCCAGCTTTTTTTCTTGCAACAAATCTGTCTGACTGCCACCAGGACATAGGAAGCGTGTGCCTGTCAAAGAAATCAAGTTTACTTTTTCTGACTTGTTAACAGAGGCAGGGTATAAATAGGGCTAACGCTGCTCAGACTATTAGCATTTCTCTTAAAATAAGGGGTGACTTCCTAGGACCTTTAATCCAATGAGGTCCAAACCAAGCTGCTCAAGCAGGACAGGCAGCAAAGGAGCTTGCTGAAGCTTTTACAGACATCAGGTGCACTCGGGTTCCTCGAAAATTTAAGGCTGACCAAAAGCAGCCCCCCAGGCAGACAGGCGCTGCCTCCAGCTCGGTCACTGCCGCTGCCCAGGAGAAGTTCTGAGATGGTGTTGGTGTTGTTCACGCGGTGGATGTGGATCTTGCTGGGGAAGAGCAGTGTCCTGTTGCTTCTGGAGGTCTCTCTGCAAGGGAGAGCTTTGCCCCCGATCCGGTACTCGCACGCGGGGATATGCCCCAATGACATGAACCCCAACCTGTGGGTAGACGCGCAGAGCACTTGCAAGAGGGAGTGTGAAGCCGACCTGGTGAGTGATGCGCTTCTGCACATCCGTGGTGGCGGGCGGCGGGTTTTGTTGGCGTTTGCTGCAGGCAGCAGAGCAGCGGCGCCGCGCCGGACTGAATTCAGACAGCACACGTATTTAATTGACCCGTGACCTGTGTGTGATAGACAGGGTCTGACAAATTATCAGCGAGGCGAGGAGGTGTGTGACAGCTGTCACTTGTGCTGGTGTGGGTACAGAGCTCATTCTGTTGGATCATTTTTCTTGCTTTCTTGTCAAAAGAAACATCAGAATTTGATACTCTGGAACTCGGCGTGCCGCGGGGTCGATCCGCAGTATTTTGCAGCGTCACAATGTTCTTTGTTGTTGGTAGCCATCACCAGTGCTTAATACTCCTGTGGGGAGCTGTGTATGAAATCATCTGATTTAACACGTAAGTTGTCAGCCTTTGCTGCACTTGAAACGTAAAGCATGCTTGGCGTGCAGAACAGGAGCGCGGTTAAAATGACCAAGCAGATGTTCTCTGTGATGCTCCCAGCTCTAAATGTGCTTAACTCACAACCCTAAAACGCATTTTTCAACCTGTCAGCGCTGCAGCTCAAGCTGGCATCTGACAATACCTGCTCTTCCTGCCTCTTACAGCAACAGCAAAGCTCCTGCAGCCCAGAGCAGGCTGACAGCGCACGTACCAGGCAGGAAGGAGTCGCTGTGTCCGTGCTCCTTGGCCGTGTTGTTTCTGCAGCGCTGAAAGCAGGGGGAAAAAAAAGAGGGGAAAAAGGCCGGTCATCAAGTGAACAAAGAGATTTGCTCCACGGATCCCATGTGCTATGAATGAAAGTATTCTTTCTACTTTTGCCCTTCTCAATTAAGCCTTCTTTATTTCAACTACCAGGTGCAGCAATGAATATTAAAAGCCTTGTAAAAACCCAGAAGCAGTGGCAGCAGATGATATTGTTTTAATAATTTACTGAAAGCTAGAAGTCACTGGATAAAAATGCTCATTTAGCCTCGTGTGCCTGCAGAGACCTGGGGACTCGTGTGCAGTGCTCTGCAGGCAAACAGACAGAGCCACAGGCTTTGCTAAACCGTGCTCCTTAACCTCATCTGAAACCATTTTGCAACCTTCCTTCTGAAACCTAGCAATGTGCAGCTGGAAATGGGGAAAGAGCTGTGTTATTAGGTCATCTTTTTTCCCAATAAGGAAAGCATACTGCACTCAAGGGAAGCTATTTAGTTTGGCAGCTTAAAAAACACGCTGTTCTCACTTACAGAGAAATTTGGTGGATTTCAGGGGGGTTGTGGAGGTTTAACACACACTGGAAGTGTGCCCTGGTGTGTAGCAAGGTTCTTGGTCACTTAAAGTAATCCATACCGACAGCTGCGTGTCAGTGCACACAAATCAAATACCTTTCCTGTACAAAAGACAAAAATCCTGCTAAAATTAACCACAATTTAGAGCTGACGGTGGCTAATAAATCATCAGAAGAGCGATGCTGCATTTGAACACAGGGCTAAAATAGGACAGAGAAGCCATAACGAGCTGTTTGGGGTTTGTTTTTCTAAACACCATAGAAAAATTATTTTGGGAGCAAGAATTCTCTTACTTTTGAAATATTCTATTATTTCCTCTACAATGTGAACAATTGCAAATCCTTGGCAGTTTCACCCCCAGAAGCAGGCTGTTAGTCTCGGGGAATTCAAATAATACTTTACATACTTTTCTGGAAAATAAGACGGATTACTGCCCACAGCCATATGATAAGTCTTTCCATCCGCTCTTGTTTCTCAAGGCTTGTCCTCGGGCATTTCGGAGAGTGCCGAAGGGGGGTTGTTAGCTCTGTAGTCGAGGAACCCATGTGACTTTAGGAGAGACTGACGATGTTTAAGAAGTAGCAATGCATTCTCCTCTCTAGAGGCTTCTCTCAGAGACCTTTGCAAACCCCCGCATGCTGAGCCTCCTCCTGGGAGCTGCTGGAGATGGTTACACGTTGCTGGCGAGGACTCTGAGTTTTGGACCACGGATCTCTGTGGCAAAACTGGGTCCACTGAACTTGAAGCCTCGAAAGTTTCTGGGCTTTCTGCTTGTTGAGTCCCTAAAGAGGCCTTAGCTCTGTCCCCAGTAATGAGCAGGTTGCTTTCTTTCCCTGCAGGAATGTGAGACCTTCGAGAAGTGCTGCCCCAATGTCTGCGGGACGAAGAGTTGCGTGGCGGCTCGGTACATGGATGTCAAGGGGAAGAAAGGGCCGGTGGGGATGCCCAAAGAGGCCACCTGCGACCGCTTCATGTGCATCCAGCAAGGCTCAGAGTGCGACATCTGGGACGGGCAGCCCGTCTGCAAGTGCAAGGACAGGTGTGAGAAGGAGCCCAGCTTCACCTGTGCTTCTGACGGGCTCACCTACTACAACAAGTGTTACATGGACGCAGAAGCTTGCATAAAAGGCATTACTTTGAACGTAGTCACCTGTCGATACCATCTCACCTGGCCAAACACCAGCCCAATCCCACCAGAAACAACAGCTCGCCCTACTACGGCCTATTCCGAGACGACGATCATCGATATCTTGCCACCGGCATTGGTGAACAACCCCGTCCATCAGTCAGTCTATGTGGGAGAGACTGTCAGCTTCCTCTGTGATGTTACAGGGAGACCCAAGCCGGAAATTACGTGGGAGAAGCAGGTTGAGGGGAAAGAAAAAGTCATTATGAAGCCAAATCACGTCAGAGGGAACGTTGTGGTCACTAACATAGCCCAGCTGGTCATCTACAACACCCAGCTGCAAGACGCGGGTATCTACACCTGCACTGCCAGAAACAGCGGCGGCCTTCTCAGGGCTGATTTCCCACTGTCCGTCATCAAAGGAGAACCTGCATCCAAAGAAGCTGCCCAGAACAGAACACACTTTCCAACTGATGAGTGCCTGAAGCAACCAGACAGCGAAGACTGTGGAGAAGAGCAGACCAGGTGGTATTATGACGCAAAGAAAAACAACTGCTTCACTTTCATTTACGGGAACTGTAACAGCAACCTCAACCACTTTGAGACCTATGAGAACTGTATGTTAACGTGCATGAACGGCCCAATCAACATTTGCAACCTACCAGCCCTCCAAGGTCACTGCAAAGCCTACGAGCCCCGATGGGCCTACAACAGCTTGACAAAGCAGTGCCAGTCCTTCATTTATGGTGGGTGTGGAGGCAACGAGAACAACTTTGAGAGCAGGGAGGCCTGCGAAGAGATGTGCCCCTTCCCAAAGAACACGCACTGCAAAGCTTGCAAGCCGCGCCAGAAGCTGGTGACGAGCTTCTGCAAAAGCGACTTTGTGATCCTGGGCCGCATCACGGAACTGACCGAAGACCAAGACTCAGGACATGCGCTGGTGACAGTGGAGGAGATTCTCAAAGATGAAAAAATGGGATTAAAGTTCCTGGGGAAGGAACCCCTGGAAATAACGCTCTTCAACATGGACTGGAGCTGCCCGTGTCCCAACATGACCACAGTGGACGGTCAGCTCATCATCATGGGAGACGTCCACAACGGCATGGCTGTCCTGCAGCCAGACAGCTTTGTGGGCACCTCCAGCATCCGGCGCGTACGGAAACTCCGTGAAGTCATCCACAAGAAAACCTGTGAGCTTCTGAAAGAGTTTCTAGGATTGCATTAACCTCCTTCACACATGTCAGCCTTCCAGACCTGTGTGTTACGTAGGGCTAACAAGGGCTAGGCTAGTGCACAAACTAAACAAGCTGCTTGAAGATACACTGTAGGAATTATGCAGAACCCTTATTTTAATCCATTAATGATGCTTAGCAACAATGTAGTATGGTCTTTGGCAAGCACATAAAACAGCAGCAAAAGGCTATTAATCTTGCATTGAAATAAATTTGTCCATATAGGAATGCCATTTAACTAGATGACTCACTGCAGTAATTATACAATTTTTATATAGCTTCAATCATATATGACGGAATTCATAGCATTCGTGTAGCTAATTGATACACAGCTAAGTAATATATAATATCAACTTAATCTGTCTCATTTACAGTATGGAAATGTGATGGTAAGTTGTTATAAATAAGTCATACTCTTGCCTCCTCGTAGCAGCACTAATATATTTCAAGAGAAAAGCCTGTAAATTATTCTCTGTGTTTACAATTGTGCAAATCTAACCAATCTATGCACTATCAGCTTCCTTATTTTAATTCCTAGCTGTTATCCTTTGCATTGTACCTCATTTCTGAATGGCATCTGCTGCCTGTCTAGTAATCCTCATTTGAGGAAATTCCCACAGAGGAACTCCCCTGATCTGAAATGCAGGACAGCAGGTCCATGCAAAAGGCCAAGGCACAATCTCACCCCTGAAATTACTTTTCTATCATAGCAATGTCAGCAAACACTCTTACTCTGTTGCACTTTCCTATTTTCGTTTTAATCAGCACGTCGTCTGTCTCATGCAAACTCCAGGCAAGGAGCTGGCTCTGTGCTGCCAGCTGTCATGCTTTTGAAAATCCTTTACATTTGCAGCATCGCATGCAGCGATGTACTGCTTAATTTCATCAGAAAGCCTGTTTCTGTAGTTGGGAAAGCAAAATAAAAGCAGCCAGAATGAAGTTCAAAATAGGAAAGTGCCACACAGTCTGCAGAATGCATTTTGTGTGCAGTCATGAAGGCAGTGAAGGGCTGCACAGACACGCAGTGGACGCTTTAAAGGCATTTATCAATCTGATCATTTTAGGGCACACTTTCAAGCTGCCGAAAACGTTTTGCACAGAGTCATGTGCATGAATAAAAACCCTGAGAGACAGCGCGAGCTGTGGGTGTGAGTGTGTGTGTCCTCATTTTGACATTTGCATGCCCAAAACGTGTAACTTTTGCCTATGCAAAAATCCTTAAATAAAGAAAAGGCTGTTCCTGGAAAAAGTCCTTCCTCCGATGGGGAATATCCCATCTGGCAAAGAGGGGAGAGCTGCACGGTGAGTCTTATCCGTGGCACCTCCTGGTTGGGTTGGGTCACCTCGTTGCCCAATGTGCCCCACTGCGGCGTGAGGGCATCTCAGGGCTGGGGAGGGAATCGGAGAGCAGGGAGGGTAAACTGAGGAGGTAAAGGTGGAGCCCATCTCCTGTTTTCCTAAAGGGTTTTGTGCCCAGCAGCCATGCTATGGTCAGGGTCCCCAGGATGGGCTCTTCTGGTGGCCTGGGCCTGGGTTGCATTCAGAACACACCAGCAGCAGGAGCAGATGTAAGTCTGTGCTTACCTGTACAATGTCAGAAGAGGCTGGGGGGGAGGGAGGGGAGCCTGGATCAGATTGCTGGTCAGGTAAACACCTGCTTATTTTTTCTATTGTATCTTTCTGAAGTGCATGTGAAAAAAATCCCAGTTCAAGATTCATAACGTTTGTGTTCTGCTGAGGGCTGCTCTCTGGAGCCGAGCGCTGCCAGCCCTGTGTCCCCCAGCTGTGCAGCCCTGCCAGATCAGCCTGGGTTGTGGCATCTGTCATTTCCCAGGGAAGCAGCAGGAAGTGGTGAGCTCTTGCCATACCTTCCAACGCTGAGGCCCTGGGGTACAGAGCTTTAATAAAGATTGACTTTGTACGGTTCTTTCTTCCAAAAGCTGAAGGATGGGAGTGGGAGTGTTAGAGAGGCTCTGGAGATGCGCACCCAGTTGTTCCAGAATTTCTGAGAGCAAAAAGTGCCCCTTCGTGGCTTTTCCAGTGAGCACGGCGCTGTGCCTAAGCCTGGGCTCCAACCTGCATTCCAAACTGCATGACCCTGAGGCAGGAGGGGCCGTGCCATGGGCGACGCATGCAGAGGGAACTCAGTCCCTGGCTGTCCCATGGCACAGGGCTGCCCTAACCAGATCCTCTCTACCTCCTGACCTTGGAGAGCTTAGCTCACCACTCCAAGCTAAAATTTTAGTTCCGCCTCTTAATAAATCCTTAAGAAGCCTAAAATTCAAGTCTGACCAGTCCTCCAGCTGTGGAAAGTACACGCACAGGGCCAAGCACTACAGGGTGTTGTTATAGCCCTAGCAAGGCTAATGGGTGCCTGCGTGTGGCTGCTGATCAGAAAATCTCTCTCTCATTGCTCACACTCTCTTGTCCATCCTGCTCCCTGGGCGCACGTCTCAAGGTGATCCTAAGGTTGTCAGAAATTTGAAGGGGAACGCCCATTTGTATTGAACACATGGGAGAAAAGGAAAAGCCTGTGTGTCTCTCCTGGCCCAGGAGGTGGGCAGGACCCACTGACCCACATCGCCTGGACCAGTGCCTTGTGGGGGAAGGCCTGCAGGTCCCACAACCCACACCAAGCTTTGCAGCAGGAGGGTGCCCAGCAATGGAGACATGCAGGGACAGAGGCCCACAGAGATGGAGACCCCTGGGGTCCCCGCCATGGCTGAGGGATGGAGCAGGAGGTGCTGGTGGATCGGGAGCACGCAGAGCCACTTGCCCACTTCCCAGTCTGAAAATGAAAAGTGTAACACAACAATCAGCAAACCCTGCGGCTAAAGCAAGATGGAATCCATCCAGCATATGGATCTGAAAATGAGTCACAGGTTATTGCGCAAACCATCTGCGCAGCCAAGCTCTATTAGAAGGACAGAATAACAGCAAAAAAGTGATGGTGAGCAGCTTGTGACAGCACACCCAGAGTGCAGGTCCCGGCTGGCATGAGGGACGGGTGGCAGGGCAGCTACACAGAGGTAGGAGGTGGCATCAACACAAACCCAGAGTGGCTGAGGTCAAGAGAAAGAGGAAACGGGGAAGGAGGAAATATTCTCATTGCAAGGGCTGGGGACGAGGTCAGGCGGAAGCTTTGGTGGGTGATCAGCTCCAGAAGTAGGAACAGAGATGTGACACCACTGGGGTGTGATTCAGATGGCAGAGCTATTTAAGAGCTTAGCTCACAGTTGTTTGGAAGCAAATCAGGGGCTCCTGCAAGAACTTGTGCCTGCCATGGGCCTCAGCTGGCACCAGATGGGCACCACTGCCCCCACTTGAAGCACCTCCTGCCCCACATTGCTGTAATTCACGTGGTGTGTGCAGAGCAAGGAATTCTCAGTATTAGACAATTGCTAGGAAAAGAGTATGGCCAGAGTGGATATCCACATCATGGGTGCTGGGGGCTTCTGGAGTCCATGAGAGCCCTTTGCTGCTCTTCAGCTGTGAGGACATCACCCAGGGTGGGAGCTGTGAATGTGGAGCCCATGTTTTTATACCAAATATTTTGTGTTTTCCCTTCATGAGCTCTGGTTACTTATTGACTATAAGTGACCTCCAGCTGCCTTATAGATTTACAGTTGCTGTCACAGGACAAAAAATGAGTCCCATGTCCAGGGCCTGAGAAGTACTCTGAATGGAGGTTGCACAACTGAATAAATGTCCCGCCAGCTCTTTAAATCTTTGGGAAAAAAAAACAAAAAAGCCAGCCTGGGCTCCTGATCTACAATGCAAACACCAGTGGGATATGAAGATAACACTGTGGCATTATTGGACGTAACTATCAGCTCCAAAAGCAGCCCAGCCTGCTCAGTTCACAGCTATTTATGGCTCGGCAAATGATAAGACATTCAGACTTGAGAGTTTGGAAATGGAATGGAAAGTCTTTCAAAGGCTGTTTGGATTTCAGCCAGCAAACCCCAGTGGTGGCATTTCACTCTCTGCCTGTCACAGCCTCCCCTCAGCCAGCTCTCCTTGGGCCAGCACCGAGCGCTGCTTAAGGACTCACAGGGCAAGTTCTCACCCCCTCATTTGTCAGTGATGGCCAGAAACGCAGACAGAAAGGAGGAGGCTGGAAAAAGAGAGAATGAGGAAAAGAGAGAGGAAGGGGAGCATCTCTGCACCTTAAGCTGGCACAGCAACGTGGTGGATGGATTGTATTAAAAAAGAGCCGCCCCTTCAGAAGTTTGTAGCTTCTCTCCCTCCTTTGCTCCGCTCCTAGCGCACTCAGACCAAAGTGGGTATGGTAACATGTGCAAAGGATATCACTTCCTCTACTGCTTGAAATAAATAGAAAAGCAACAGTCATAAATCTCCAGAATCAGATGGTATTCACCCAAGGGTAAAAGTAAGAAATTGCTTAACTATTAACTGCAGCAGATAACCTTTGCTTCAGTCTGCTGCAGCAGTGGAGGGCTGGGGGTGGCACAGACACGGCTAATTTGGGATTCAGTTCCTAGGGACTGGGCACCAAAACTCAGCAAGTCTGGTAAAAAGGGTAAGAGACAGTAAAAGTCACCAGGCTGACCAGAGTGTGATACAGAGAGGAAGAGTCTGCAGATGTCAGCAGGGCAAAGAGATGCTGCAGAGCTTTCCTTGAAGCCACCACAGGAATGATTCGGCTTGGTGGAGCTGACGTTGATTTCTGTAAGGCTCCAGGGGAAGTTCTCACCCTGAAAGGTTAAGGCAACGTGGCTGCCTTGCAGCAAGATGAGAGGCAGTCTCCTGAGTCCAGGACTGGTCAACACAGGACAGGGGTGAGAACAGAAGGTCAGCTGTTTGTCAAGGAATCCATCGGCGGTGCCCCACGGAGCCCTGCATGGTGGCCAGGGCTGCTTCATGTGAGTGGTTGGGAAAAGGGACTGGAGAGGCTGGTTACCAGCTCTGCTGCTGTACAAGATACTTGGGGCTGCAAAAAGGGAAGCTGGCTGCAAGGACACTGCATGATAAGCTGCAGGATATCGTAATACCCGGCAGCAGGATGACAGAACAGCAGATGAAATAGAATATTGCTTAATAATCTACACTGGGTGGAAAAATGAGTCCTAACTGCACTGCTGTCTTCAAGCAAGCTATCCTCGTCTGAGACCTGGCTGATCCATCATCAAATTTGGGACTGAGTTTCCCCAGATTTGCCGCTCTCTGTATTCCGGGTCCCCACCTCAGCACACAGGGCAGAGCCCAGCTCTGCTC